GTGCGTCCCTACGTATTTACGCATCTCATGCGGTTCGCGTAATGATCATTATTTTCTGAACACGTGGCGCGCGGCGCCGTAACTTATTTTGCCACCCATAACGCCATCGCGTTGCGCGGAGCATCGCGACTGCGGTGACTTCCTCCGAGCTAATCGCGACGCGCAAAAGCGAACGAGCTTGGACGAGCGTACTGCGAGAGGCGCGACGCTCGAACCGTCTGCTCGGTGACCACCTCCCCCCCCCCCTCTCTCTCTCTGGGGGGACCGGTGGCAACGCTACCAAGTCGGACTCTGCCTGATCCAATGCTGCTGACCTGACGCATTCTATCTATCTATTGATATATTTAAAATCTTAACTTTTTTTTGTTTGATTGGCAAGAAAGCTATTTTTTCCTGTGGTTTCTTGAGATTAATATTTCATGTCCTATATATATATTTACGTGTGTGTATATATACGTGTGTGTGTATATATATATTTACGTGTGTGTATATATATATTTACGTGTGTGTGCATATATATCTACGCGTGTGTGTGTATATATCTACGTGTGTGTATATATATACGTGTGTGTATATATCTACGTGTGTGTATATATATCTACGTGTGTGTATATATCTACGCGTGTGTGTGTATATATATCTACGTGTGTGTATATATACGTGTGTGTATATATATCTACGTGTGTGTATATATCTACGTGTGTGTGTATATATATATCTCTACGTGTGTGTATATATATCTACGTGTGTGTATATATACGTGTGTGTATATATATCTACGTGTGTGTATATATCTACGTGTGTGTATATATATCTCTACGTGTGTGTGTGTATATATATCTACGTGTGTGTGTATATATCTACGTGTGTGTGAATATTTCTACGTGTGTGTATATATATACGTGTGTATATATATCTACGTGTGTGTATATATCTACGTGTGTGCGTGTGTGTATATCTATGTGTGTGCGTGTGTGTGCGGGGAGCGGTGGTGCAACGGTTAGCGCGCTGCGCTGTGAACCTGGGTTTCCCCGAGTTCGATTCCCAGCTCACGGCCAACACCGGTGACGATTATCTAAACCGGTCCTGGGCCTCCCCTAGGTCGACTCAGACTCAAATGAGTACCTGGTACGGTGTGTAGTAAACATCGCCACTGGGGAGGCAAAGGCGGTCGGGCGTTCTGCTGGCCACCCACCCCCTCGTGTACCGTTCCGGCCTTCATAGGTGCTCGCTAACAGCACTTGCCCCAAACAGTCTGTTACAGGTTACACGGGGATCTTTGTCTTTGTCATATATATGTGCGGGGAGCGGTGGTGCAACGGTTAGCGCACGCTGCGCTGTGAACCCGGGTCTCCCCGAGTTCGATTCCCGCTCACGTCCAACACCGGTGACGATGATCTGAACCGGTCCTGGGCGTCGCTTAAGTCGACTCGGCCTCAAATAGGTACCTGGTGCCGTGTGTAAACATCGCACCTGCTGGGGGCAAGCGCTGTTTGCGAGTAGCAGCACCTGTGAAGGACGGGACTGCACACGAGTGCCGCATTTGTCTCCCCAGTGGCGATGTTTACACACCGCACCAGGTACTCATTTGAGGCTGAGTCGACCTAGGCGAGGGCCCAGGACTGGTTCACATTATTGTAGTCTGGTGTTGGTGGCCCTGAGCGGGTCATAGTCCGGGTTCATGGCGCAGCGTGCTAACCGCTGCACCACCGCTCCAAAGACAAAGCCTCAAATGAGTACCCGGTACGGTGTGTAGTAAACATCGCGACTAAGGGAGACAAAGGCGGCCGGGCGTGGTGCTGTCCGCCCACCCCCTCGTGTGCTGCAGTGCCGGTAGCCTTCATAGGCGCTGCTACTCGCTAACAGCACTTGCCCCAACAGTCTGTTACAGGCTACACGGCGGATCTTTATCTGTGTGTGCTAGTTAACAGCACTTGCCCCAACAGTCTGTTACAGGCTACACGGGGGATCTTTGTCTTTGTGTGCTAGCTAACAGCACTTGCCCCAACAGTCTGTTAAGGCTATACGGGGGATCTTTGTCTTCTTTTTAACGTGATACATATATTAATATATATGTATCGGACACATATATGCGAGGTTTTGTGTTTTATTATTCATCAACGCGCTTTCTTTTGAAAGGGTTTTGTCGATGGCTGCTATTCAGTGGATAGCTATTGAACAAACAAACCCAAAAACTCGGTCATCAGAAGTCAAAATTATTTAATTTTAATATTTTTTTTTGGGGGGGGGGGGGTGTTTAACGTCGTATTTTTTTTTCTCACGAGCCTCCGTAATTAGAGTGAAAGTAAACGAAACGCGGGTCTCCAACTCGCACCATCCCACTCTGGCTCTCTGCTGGCCTCTCTCTCTCGCCCTTCGCGTGCTTGCAAAGAAGCAAGGCCTTCGCCCGAAACGCCGCCCATTCGCTTATTTTGCTGTTGTTGTTTTATCGTAACGTTACAGTGGCGTCGACGCAGTGCGCTGAGCTTCGTGTATCTGCACGCCTCTAACGTGGAGTCTAAGGGTAGTGTTGAGTCTATGGGTAGTGTTGAGTCTATGGTGCAGTGTTGAGTCTATGGGCAGTGTTGAGTCTATGGGCAGTGTTGAGTCTATGGGCAGTGTTGAGTCTATGGGCAGTGTTGAGTCTATGGGCAGTGTTGAGTCTATGGTGACACACAGCGCCTGAA